GAGATTGTCTTCTACAGGGTCGATCACCGTATGCTCGGCTCTAACTGCTGTGCAAGGTACCAAAGTCTGCCCTGTACATTGGGTCTGACCGTCATAATCTTGGCCTTCCACGTAATTTTTTGTATTATTATACAAGTATCTTAATATATTCTTAATATATAAACTTATAAAATTTTAACTATGATTAGTATATAAAAAATTATAATAAAAGAAAATTATTTATTTAGATTAGTTTAGTAATTTTATATAGTAAAATTCAAATATAAACTTTTTCTATATATTTTATTTGTAAAAAGTTTAACTAAGTTTTAATAAATATAGAAGCATAGCCTTACTTTAATATTTAAAAAATAAAAAAAGTTAGTAATTATAAATTTTTTAAAATTTAAAACTTTTATTTATACCTATATATATAAACTTTTGAGCATTATAAGCATATATATTTGATATATTAGTATACATATAATAATTATTTTATAAAAAATTATTAAATTTTTATAAAAATTTAAAAATAAATAAAATTAGTTTAATAATAAAGATCAATATATTTAATAAAAAATCTATTAATAATATATTATAATTATTTTTTATTAAAATTTATTAATAAAAAAATTAGTTATTTTATTTAAACAATAATATTTTATAATTTAATAACTAGAATTAGATTATTTGATTCATTTAGATAAAATAAATCAAATAATAATAAAATTATTTATTTTTAATTTTTGTAATTGATTATACATTATAATATTTTCTTTTATCTTATATATATAAAAATAAAAAATAAATCATTTTTTTATTACTTCTTTTATTAATTTTCTTATCTTTTACAAATTTATTATTTTTCTAGTTTCATTATCTTAGTAGTTTTGCCAATTTCGACAGTTTTGACAGTTTCGCTAGTTTCGCTAGTTTCGCCAGTTTCGCCAGTTTCGCCATTTCGCCATTTTCAATTTTTTTTTGGCGAAACCTCTAAGTTTCGCCTAACAACACTAATTATACCTGATATAGATTTGATTAATTAGTATATCGCAAACCCCAATGTCGTACGGTTCATTGAGACAGTTCCACGTGCACCTCTAATCACAGCACAGTTATGCATTAAAGTTTGGCAGAATGTATATTTAATTTTGTGGAATGGGGACGTAAAAGTAACACAAAATATTCGAGATATTTTACATTTGGGTGAGTACACAGCAAAACCATGCTTAGAGTATATATAATACATATACTCTAAACATGGTTTTGCTGTGTACTCACCCATTTATAAGTGAGAAGAAATTACCGTATTCCTCTGAAAATATGCACCCCTTTTGCACGTAATGCTAGCCATGATTATTGTAAAGCTGGCATAGTATAGGCCAAGGTGCTTATTTTATTTTCGGAGGAATACGGTAAATATTTTACTGCCGGATTATATAATGAGGAATTGCTTAATTCTCAAATGGTGTAGTCGATTTTATCGACTTAGCCAGTTTAGTCAGCCGATTTTATGTTTATAGATTATATAATTATATATATAGTAACGATCAAATTTAGGGCAAATCATTCTATTCGTTGGGTTATCTGCCGACGAATCTAAATGAGGAAAATTTACGATAACTTCCGAAGGTTAACCAAAGATGACTTAGCCGGCTAAGCTGATTTTTAAATCTTAAAATTCTTATTGAGGATTTCGATTGTTCTGAACATAAAAGAATTCTAGAATATTGCAATGCCATTTAATACCAATAGATTATATTCTTAACATCAGTCTAGACCAGAATAAGATATAGATATTATAAACTTGTCTTATATTGCTTTATATTTATGATTCAATCGTTTATTATGAAACTTTTTTTTTAAAAAAAAACAATGAACTGGTTTTAAAATTTTTAGGTTTAATACAGTTTCGGATGTTTAATGTGATAACAATTTGTCAGAAAAGCGGAAATAAGGGAATAATAATAAAGAAAACAAAAGATAAAAAATTAATAGTTAATCGTAATTGCATAGTTCAACCTTCTTCATGAAACCCAACAAACCCTCATTTATATTATACAGAAGAAAGGTTGATCAATTGTTCTTTTTTTTTTAATTTTGTTGAATTTTTAAAGATTATAATAAGAGAAGAGAGGAGTATATTCACTAATCTAATCTGAGAATATATTTATTAATAATATTCGCTAGATGAACGTGGTGGAATATCGCTACGCTTTGGTGATGAAGAATTCATCATGTTTTTTAGTGAACGACGTGAAGTCGAAACGTGTGCTGGCAATACATGTTCGATTATGGGCCCCTTTGTTTGATCAAAGCCATTAAGCATCATTGCTGGCCTAAAATCTCCTCCAATTAACAATTCTTCGACCCCTAACATTTTTCGTTTGACAATTTTTACCAATTTCCTGGGTGGCTTTATCAAACATCCAGGAAATATTAATAATAAAATAATGTTGTGAATTGATTCAATGTCAACATCAGAGAGCGGTCCACTCAGAATTATCGTGCAATAAACGGCGAAATGAGCTAAAAAGAATGCTAGAACGGTCAATAGATGTATTATTGAGACTGCGGTTTGTTCGGGGCGAAGTTCTGTTTGACGGCGAATGGTGAATAATGGACAAATTACGTATGCTAAAGTTAATGCAGCTGCCAAAAGACTTAAAAGCAGTGTAAGTTTTTCGAGTGACATATCTAAGGAATAAATATTTTCATAATTATAATTATAATTATAATTCATAGAGAATATTATGACTGTGTAAACTGAAACTCCAAAAACGCCGAAAGTTACCGCGACTGGTGCAAATATTAGAAAGGTCTTGATAAAGTTATATTCTTGATAAAAATTAGTGCCAACGTGTAAAAGGACATAGCATGAGAGAATTGCTGTTAATGAGGTGAACAGAAAATATATGCAAACGTATTTGTCACTAAATTCTACCAAGTCGACGGCTCGTAAAAGGTCAAGAACACATAAAGCTTCAATGATCAAGGTACCAATAAAACATGTAATGTGCATTACTGGAGAGAATCTATAAAATGCTTTGTAGATAATATAGATAGCACTCATGGTAGCTAACACCACGCCGGCACTAGCGAGAAGGAACATTTTGTGGAAAATATTCGTGTTTTTTTTTTAAAAAAAAAGATGGTTATATTACAAGCGTTAAATGACTTAAAGAATTTTTTAGTAAAATTTTTGACGGTAAAAAAGTGAATGATTTTCGTATATGATGGAAAATGGAATGGCGGGCCAGCGCCGGCTAAATCGTAAGTCTTTCTATATGGTTTTTAATTTTAATGAAAGAGCCATAAATGTAATCATTAAAGAAAGAAAATCAAGAACAGCATCGAAAGAATAAAGCTGTCTTATTTTAAAAAGGGAGATTTCCTGAAATTATTTATATTACGTATGAAATGAATTAAATAATTTTATAAGACAGCAAGGAATACGTACTAAATATATTATTTTCTGACACAATCGGCAATCGATTATGGAAGACATGTTCGACGTTTCACATCCAAAAGAAGGAAATTGCCGAATATCAAATATATCGATGAAGAACCCTTTTGTGGTTAGCCAGTTACCTTTATGATTTTACCTGCCACTTTCGGCATACATGTAATCACGCGAATTCTCACATTACCAATCATCGATTTTTTCGTACAAAAAACCAATATTTAAAAGGTCATCTCAAAATCTACACTTTCATTTTATTGTTTATTGTGTTCATTATTTGATTCTCAAAAAAATTCGTAACAATAACTTTGGGAATATTATAATTATTAGTAATTTAATGATTTCCAAAACTAAACTGTTATGTTTGCTATTTTACGATTACTTAGGAAAAAAAAATTTTTTTTCTTGTTGTATTTTAAAGTTTTCGTTGACAATTGTTATGTATTGTAAATTTTTACACGTTACAAACAAATGGTGCAAGAAATTATGCTTAATTACATCGACCTCATGTTCAACTTAATGTGCGAACCTTAATGTTTGTAAATATTTTATTCATTATTCTCTTTTTTCATCGTATTCAGATTATTTGGCGGTTTATGCTATTCATGTAACAAGATAAATGGTCGTACAAGTTTAATTATACAGTTTCATATTCAATAAACAGATTCTTAAAACAATCCTGTCCAATCAAAAATTGTTTATATTAACAAATGATAACAAACGAGTGTACTATGCTAGAAATTTACACTGAGTTTGCACTTTCTAGTCTAAAAGATTCTTTATTCTATAACTGACTCTTTGCGTAAGAAGGTTGTCTGGTTCAACCAAAATTTATTTCTTATTTTGAAGGCCTTTTATTATAAAAGTTTTAATTGGGATTTACAAAATCAAGAATTCTTATGTCAAGGGTTTCTTATATCGTGTTACCTGTATTATCTCTTGTATTCCTAGGAAACTTGCCTGAAAAATTATAAGAATTTTATAATATTTTTAAATAAAATTAGAAAATATAATTAACACTAAGTGCACATTCTCCAAGTACAACATTCAATAAAGTTGGTTTAAATACAAAATATTCTTTGGTCCCAAGTATATGTATAAAACAATATATTTTTTAATGCATCTTTCTTTAAATGCAGGATTTTAGTTTTTTTATATTAAAATTTTTTTATACTTTAACAAGTTGTATTTAAAAAAAGTTAACTATATGATAATATATTAATATAATAATATAATAATATAAGATACAGTATACTTCGTAAGGCATTTAGATCTATTGCTATTTTATTAGCTTTATTAAAAAAATTTTGGATCATTAATAAACTTTAATTAAAAGATAAATTCTATTTTGAAATGACCTGACAGAGATATTTCTATATCATATAATATAAACTATTACGGGTTTATAATAGTTATATTATGCAACACGAAAATATCCTGTCAGGTTAGGTTAAAACAGAATTCTCTACTTAAAATTTTTAAAAAGTTTAGTTTTTAATATTTAATAATTTTTTATTCAGTTATAAGTTTTAATTTAAATTGATTTAAAAACAAAATTTTATTAAGTTTATATACAATATACTGTATATAAATATTAGAGTAAGTTCAGTTCTAAAGCTTAAAGAAAATATAATATAAAAGTAATCATAAATTTGAGCAAAATATTATTATTATTAGAATAAATTTATTTAGTACAATGTGTACTTAGTATATATTATAGTAAAATAAATACAAATAAGAATTAGAATTAAAGTTTAAGTAGAGTAAAATTGCAAAAGAAATATTTTTTTATTATAACAAAGATTATCATAATAAAATATTAAAGAAGTACACCAGAGTGTAAAATTTATTAACAAATAATATTCTTATTAATATATACTATATAAGTTGTATACAAGTAAAAATTAAAATTTTTACTATATTTTAAAATCTAATCTGCTTAAATACATCTTTAAAATTAATTAAAAATATGTAAATTTAGTAAATTTAAAAAATTACTACAAATTACCAGTAGTATTTGCTACTATATATAGTTTCAGAATTAGAATGCAATTTTAAACAAAGCTTAAAGTTAAATATTAGAACCTCAAATTTGGGTTATACAAGGTTATTATAGGTTTTGAACATTTTTACTTACCCTGTTTCTTGGTTTCATTTTTGAAATATAGCATACTGGTGATAATAAATAGCAAATTTCTATTTTCTAATATAGATACTACTCTAGAATTATATAATACTAAAATTATTATTTTAGCAAATTTGAATCTATTAATAAACATTATATAATATATATACTTATTTAAAACAATACGTATAAGTTTTCAAATTTTACTATAATAAATAAATTATTTTAGTTTATATAAAATTAATAAATTATTATACTTATTTAAAACAATACGTATAAGTTTTCAAATTTTACTATAATAAATAAATTATTTTAGTTTATATAAAATTAATAAATTATTTTAGTTTATATATTCTAAAATTTAATAATTTATTTTAATTTAAATCTTCTAAAATTTAATAACTTTTACGTAATTGTTTTTAAAAATTATTATTAAAAGCACATTTCTCTTTTCTACGTACGTATACAAAATCTAAATATAATACGCATTATATGACAAATAATCTATATATATTCTACCTTGGATTAGGGTTAAGTGTGTTAGATTGGTGGCACTAACGGTCTTTTTTGATTTTTAACTCTACCTTGTTTGAGTGCATCGAGTGTAACTGGGTTCGCATAAGGAGAGCTTCTTCCTGCGTTGCGAATACAAAGTAAAATTTTCAATTATATAATATAAATGGAAATTTTACGTACTTTGTATTCACAATGCACTTCTTATGCGAACGCGGTTACACTCAATGCACTTAAGAAAGGTAGGGCAACACCGAAGGAAAACCAGATTTAGATCATATAAAATGTATATGATCGAAATAGTTTTCCTTTGGCGTTACCCATGTAGTAAAATTGCTATTTTTCACCTTTATTTTTTTTTGCTTTTTTTTTTTGCTTCAGATTTTGCATAATTTGTTTGGTTGATTATGTGATTTATCACTCACCGCTTTAGACGCTCCAAATAAGGAAATAGAAGAATGGTTCGATAATATTGTTCAGATCTCTATATAAGTACCGTTTATTTTCATGTTTAAAATGTCCAGTAGTGAGGAATTATCAAACATTTGCTACGATGTCTCTTGTTGCTCAAAATGCATCTGAATTGGAAAATCCTAGTTTTATGTGTATAGCTGGTCATTGTTATCAAAATGGGATTGAAGTTAAGAAAGATGAGTTCAATTATTATCAAAAATCAGCAGAGATGGGGGACGCTGGCGGAACATATATGGTTGGAAATTGTTATCTATATGGAATTGGAATTGAAAAGGATGAACATAAGGCATTCATATATTATCAAAAGTCAGCAGAGATGGGAGATGCTAAAGGAACATTTAATGTTGGACGCTGTTATTATAAAGGAATTGGTGTTGAAAAGGATGAACATAAGGCATTCATATATTTTCTAAAGTCAGCAAAGATGGGGCATGCGAAAGGAACATTTAATGTTGGATGTTGTTATTATGAAGGAACCGGAGTTGAAAAGGATGAACATAAGGCATTCATTTATTATCGAAAATCCGCAGAGATGGGAAATGTTAAAGGAACATTGAATGTTGGATGCTGTTACGATAAAGGAATTGGAGTTGAAAAGGATGAACAAAAGGCATTCATTTATTATCAAAAATCAGTAGATATGGGGAACGTTAGTGGAACATTTAATGTTGGATCTTGTTATGAAAAAGGAATTGGAGTTGAAAAGGATGAACATAAGGCATTCATATATTATCAAAAGTCAGCAGAGATGGGGCATGCGAAAGGAACATTTAATGTTGGATGCTGTTACTATGAAGGAATCGGAGTTGAAAAGGATGAACATAAGGCATTCATTTATTATCAAAAATCCGCAGATATGGGGGATGTTAATGGAACATATAACGTTGCGCAATGTTATTACGATGGAATTGGAGTTGAAAAGGATGAACATAAGGCATTCATCTATTACCTAAAATCTGCAGAAATGGGGAATGCTAGTGGAGCATATAATGTTGGATATTGCTATAAAAAAGGCATTGGAGTTGTGAAAGATGAATATAAGGCATTCATATATTATCAAAAATCAGCAAAGATGGGGGACGCATATGGAACATATATGATTGGACATTGTTACGATAAAGGAACTGGTGTTAAAAAGGATGAACGTAAGGCATTAATTTATTATCAAAAATCTGCCGAGATGGGGCATTCTAAAGGAACATATAATGTTGGATATTGTTATGAAAAAGGAATTGAAGTTGAGAAGGATGAACATAAGGCATTCATTTATTATCAAAAATCTGCAGAGATAGGAAATGTTAAAGGAACATTGAATGTTGGATGCTGTTACGATAACGGAATTGGAGTTGAAAAGGATGAACATAAGGCATTCATATATTATCAAAAGTCAGCAGAGATGGGGCATGCGAAAGGAACATTTAATGTTGGATGCTGTTACGATAAGGGAACCGGAGTTGAAAAGGATGAACATAAGGCATTCATTTATTTTCAAAAATCCGCAGAGTTGGGGGATGTTAATGGAACATATAACGTTGCGCAATGTTATTACAATGGAATTGGAGTTGAAAAGGATGAACATAAGGCATTCATATATTTTCAAAAATCTGCGGAAATGGGGAATTCTGGTGGAATATTTGCACTTGGTAACTGCTATAAAGATGGAATTGGAGTTGAAAAGGATGAACATAACGCATTCATATATTATCAAAAGTCAGCAGAGATGGGGCATGCGAGAGGAACATTTAATGTTGGATATTGCTATGAAAAAGGAATTGGAGTTGAAAGGGACGAACATAAGGCATTCATATATTATCAAAAGTCAGCATTCATTCATTATCTAAAATCAGCAGAGATGGGGGACGTTGATGGAACATTTAATGTTGGATATTGCTATAAGAAAGGAATTGGAATTGAAAAGGACGAACATAAGGCATTCATATATTATCAAAAATCAGCAGAGATGGGGAACGTTAGTGGAGCATTTAATGTTGGATGTTGTTACGATAAAGGAACTGGAGTCGAAAAAGATGAACATAAGGCATTCATATATTATCAAAAGTCAGCAGAGATGGGGGATATTAATGGAACATATAACGTTGCGCAATGTTATTACGATGGAGTTGGTGTTGAAAAGGATGAACGTGAGGCATTCATATATTTTCAAAAATCAGCAGAGATGGGGGACGTTGATGGAACGTATATGATTGGATATTGTTACGATAAAGGAACTGGAGTTAAAAAGGATAAACGTAAGGCATTCCTATATTATCAAAAGTCAGCAGAGATGGGGGGTGCTAAAGGAACATTTAGTGTTGGACGCTGTTATTATAAAGGATCTGGAGTTGAAAAGGATGAATATAAGGCATTCATTTATTATCAAAAATCTGCAGAGATGGAGTATTCTAAAGGAACATATAATGTTGGATATTGTTATGAAAAAGGAATTGGAGTTGAGAAAGATGAACATAAGGCATTCATTTATTATCAAAAATCTGCAGAGATGGGAAATGCTAATGGAATGTCCAAAGTTGGATATTGTTATCAAAATGGAATTGGAGGCTTACAAAAAGTTAACGAACGGTACCAGATGTAAGTTATTTTTATGCTGCAATTATAAAATTATATATTTTCTTTTTAATAAAAGTAATTAAAAAAAATCATTAGAGAACAGAAACAAAAATCAAGTAATTATTATAATCATTTGTTTATCAAACAATTCAAATATAACGATAATAAATTAACTTTTCGTTTGTAACAGACAGGCGAATATGTAATAATTCAAATATTGATGATAATTTAAAAATAATACTAGATGAAAGTAAAAATTCATTATCTTGGGTTTCTTATAATGAGTTTAAAAATATTAAAGCTATATGGAGAGGTGAATTTGCGACAGTATATTATGCTATGTGGGTCGATAAAGACCAAAGCGTTGACCAACCTGTTGCACTTAAATTACTTCATGATTCAAAAGGATATAGAAAGAAATTTGTGAGAGAGGTAATTTTATTTATATGCTAATTTAATAATTTACATCTAACTAGTTGTTTTAATACAGAAATTGAAAGCATATTGTGATATTTGCAATGAAAATCCTACATTTTTAAGGTGCTTTGGAATATCAAAAGATGAAATTTCCCGTGATTATATTCTTGTCTTAGAACGCGCAGCAATGGGTTCTTTGCGCCAAAATCTTCACTCTGTAGCACAAATGGGATGGAAAGATAAATTAACATTATTGTACTGTATTGCTTCTGATCTTCAACTAATTCATTCTCAAAAACTTATTCATCGAGATTTGCATAGTGGTAATATTTTACAAGATAGTTTAAATAGCGTGTATATTGCAGATTTAGGACTTTCAACATCAGCACGTATAGAATTAAAGGCAAAACGTCGTGGAGTTTATGGAATTTTACCGTATATGGCACCAGAAACTTTAGACAGAGGTCGATATACAACTGCATCAGATATTTACTCTTTCGGAATAATTATGTGGGAAATTTTGTATGGAAAACCTATATATTATAATCAAGAATTTGTAACACTACTTCAAATAAAAATATGCTATAATGATTTAAGACCAATAATTATTGAGGACACACCACAATGTTATATAAACTTAATGAAGAAATGTTGGGAAAGAGAACCAATAAACCGTCCATTAGCAACAAAAATTTGTGAAATCCTTACAGAATGGCAGAACGATGAAAATATTTTATCAGAATTAATTAAATCAGACAAAATATTAAAAAACATTCAAAGCACGCATATAAAAACATATCCTGATGATATTTATAATAACGAACTTATTGAAGGCACACATTTAAAAACGTATTCTGATGACATTTATACAAGTAAATTTATTGAATATACAACATTACTTTGTTCAGGTAACTTCTTATATTTTAATAAATAGATTCATCTATTTTATTGTTTTCTAATATTAGTTACAATTATTTAACAGATAGCGGATTGAATGAATGAATTGAATATTACAAAATTATATAGTTTGAACAAAATGATTATTATTAACAATTATATATTTCAGGATGAAATTTTACTTTTATTTAATATCTCAAATTCAAAGAACTTTTTTTATTTCTGTATTTATAGAAATGTCTAAAATAATATGTTAACAGTAGATTTCGTGGAGGTAGAATCTTGATCGCTTCAAGTGGCTTAAGGAATTAATACCTATGTGATTAGGACATTATTCAATTAATCGGTAACTAGTAATTTTATAGCTATTATGTCTTGTATTGGAGAAGTCATCGAATTTCACAAAGGAAAGATGCTTTTAAACCATAAAGTTTGGTGTTTCAAAAGCAAGCTCTCAAATATATCCGATTCTTACATGATACTCTGTACTCACATTTAGATTCTATAACATATCTATTTAGTAGCAATTCCTTCTGTTTTATATTTGAATGGATTGATTACATTATGGTGATGGGCCACGCGCGGGATCCGCAGGATTTTTAATGAGATCATTTGGCCTGCATTAGCATATCATCTGGTCTGCATTAAATATCATCCGGCCTGCATTAACATTAATGGCCAATTTCTATGTAGAACTTTTTATTTGTTTATCATTCTATATATCGCATATCCTTGATTTAAATTTTTTTGCCGTTGGTAGTTCTTACTTACTATTCCTTGTTATAATAAATATATAACCATTATTAAGTCAGTCTTTAAACAACGTTATTATAACATGGGTGTTAAACCAATTTGACATCATTTGAAAAACTTGGAACAGACCAAGATTATAAACAATGGCGTGCTAAATGTATGATTATTTAACAAGAAATAATGTTTCTAGTGATAAGATATATATATATTTATAATTCATGAAAAATCAAAAAAACTACTATATTCCGCGAATTCTAGTTCAATACAACTTCCTCAAATTCAAGCACATTCTCATCATGTGCATACTTGTATTATCCGCGCGGGATTTTATATACTATATATAATTTTCAAATGAAATAACGCCCGGGTGTAGGTAAAATTTTGACCAGTATTAAGCTTAATTTGGCTTAAATTAAGCTGAATTCGGGCCAAAATTTTAACCTACACCCCGGTGTTGTTTAGAATAAACGGTACCGTTATCGTAGAACATGTGATAAAGATTTTTATGACCTGCGTGATCGTAATTATCGGGAGCCTACCCGACAATGACAAAATTCTGACAAGTTAGCTCGCATTAGGTTAGCGATAGTTATGGTTCAGTCAATGATAGATATCCGTATTTATCCCGATTGGAGTCCGTACTATTTCATCGACAGAGTCATCTAACCGATATCACATAACGTGACAATTCACAAATTAACATGTTAAAACTAATAAAATGCTAAATTGTCACCCTAAGTGATGTCTGTGAAATGATCCCAAATAACGGAAATTCTTATTAGCAACTTTTATTTGGTATAAAAACTAAATGCTAACGCTAAATTGTTTCTGATTCAGCTCATGCTAAAATCAAAGACAATCAAAATTGCCATAATTGCATCATTTTTTTTTATTTTTTTCGTCCACATCTTCATTAAAGCTCATAGATAAGGGCTCATCTGCTAACATCAAATCCAAATCGTACACTTCGTTTCCGAATTTTTTAGTAAATTTCGACAATTGACCACTTTCATCATCCAAAGAATCGGATTGTGTCGTAGGGTTCCAAAGTGGATGATTGCGAGTATCTTTAATTAATTTAATTATAGATTTTGGAGAAGTTGTACGCATTGTGTAAGTAGCTCCATTTGATAAAATTATTTGCTGAGTAAACAGTTCAGGACGAGTTGCCATTTGTGGCTTTTGAGGTAATGACTTTGTAGAATAAAAACCAAGAAAAAATTGAGATTTACTAAAAAATAAATGATGGCGTGTGATGTGAGATATTAGTAAGGGAGCTTGTAGATTCGTTTTAAGATACATAATTATTCAATAGAGAATATCCCGATAGTCTATCGTTAAGTTTTTTTTTACTTGTAATGAGCTGGACAATCATGCACAATAAATAGTGTTACGTTACATATTAAGGGCTGTCTTTGTAAGCCACAAAATTGAAAATTGATTTGGCCGGCTTTCGGCCTAAAAGCATGCCGTACGCACGCACGTACTTAAATGTAAGTACGTATGTGCCATGTCGTAAGAAAAGAAGACCAACCAATTGAAAAGTGTAAAATTTGACACATGAAAAACAAGAATTACTAATATAAAAAAAAAACGATTTTGGGAGTATTAATTAAAAACGATGGGAATGAAATTATACTCAAGCTAAATTGCCTTTTGTTGAAATCTTGCGTTACCTTGACACCCCCGGCTTGTGCCTGTACAAGTATTAAATCGGCTAAATAAGGAAAGATAAAAGATACTGGTCTATTAATTATTATTCAATAAGTTGAATCTGTGAAACAATAACGAGATCCGAGAAACTTCCATAAATTTCGATGACATTCTTCAATTATATCATATAATGATCGATTGAAATATATATAAATGAGTAGCATAAATGAGTAGGATCGTTTCATAAAAATCACTTCCGAACCTTCTACGTACAAAACAATAATCAACCGTGTTATACATATAGTTTTACCGTTCCCGTGCATTTTACATAATCATTTTTTAAAACTGAACGAAACATTATCCATCAATATGAATGCCACACTACAACAACATCCAGTTGAAATATCTACTATTGACCATAAAACATGTCCGAGAAAACGATTTTATTTTGAAGATGAACCTTCTCATAATGTGAATAAGCGAGTTAAGACTCCTCCTCACTTGGTTAACAGTTTTCCTTCATCGACACTGCGTCTTTCAACCTTCCATTCTTGTAGTCATGATAGAAAACTATTACCATTATTTCAGTCTAGTAAAACTGATCTCAAAGAGAACAAAAACATTCTGGAACCAGAATCCAATTCAGAAATGTCTCGTATAATCGATCTTTCCACAGGCGAGTCCTTGGAATCAATTTCAAATACGGAACATCAAGAGCGGCAAAGATTAAAACGCCCATTAGAATTAGTTGAAAATGATTATAAAAACTCATCTTCAGTTGAGAGTTTAAACTTTGAAGAAGGTAATTTCCTTGCTGCTATGGGAGAAACTACCGTCGGTAATATTTATAAAAGATCTCGAACTTCGGAAAAACCAACGGTAAATTACATTGAAGATGTTGAAGATACAGAATTAATCGATCATACCGTTGGTGCCATTCAAGAATTTAAAAACGATGTCATCACTTGTCATCCAATTCCTGATTTTTCTAGTACTTCAAAAGTCGCTATTGATCCAGCCAAATCCTTGCCATTGGTAGTAAGAGAGAAAATTCCAAGAAAAATCGAATTTACTGTGCAATACCAAGAAGCGTTCAATAAGTATATGCGGTCACAATTGGATGGTGTAAAAGATGATGAATATAATGTTCGTGGAAAAGAAATGATTTTGTATCTTCGAAATAATGATGAATATATCATTAAAGATGGCAATTTTGACGATTTTACGGCAGATTCTGAAGGAAAGATTTTCGAAATTGATGATAAAATTGAAGAGAATGATATTCAAATGATGGATACAGACGAGACTAATGCATGCGACACAGGAGTCAGACTTTTGTTTAATGAGAGCAATCAAAGTCTAAATGAGGACGATAATATGGACATTGATGAATAAATAACAACACAAACTTGCTTTTACTATAATTTCATAATGTATTGAAGGAACGCAGATGATTGCTTGACGTGATGTTATTGTTTATTGCTTTAGGCTTTTTCGGTTATACATTTAGTAGATACTTCGAGTATATGTATGTAGAAATTTCCTGTTTACACTAATAAAAGTAATTGGTAGATCATATTGATGTATAAATTTCTAATACATACGTACATACACGTCCAGAACGTTACTGATGTATGCATTCATATGATTCCAGTTTTGACTTTATTCAAAATGTAAGCGCATGCACTACTGGGATTACCAAAGTACCATCATTACTCTAAGATTACGTTTTTGTGACCTATTGTGGTCTAGCGGATAACCAGTTTAAGAATTTTTGAGTTGACATTAGCGTTAGTATTAACGTTAATAGTTTAATTCGTCGAAATTTTATTGCTACGTATAATATTAGTCGGTATTAACCGATCAAAATCAAAGCTATCAATATTTTTTTTTTTTACTACAATCTAATTTTAATGTTATATAAATATAGTGATATAGTGATAGTGCATTGCCTATCGCTATTGGAATGTTCCGGTGTGAATTACTGGAATTGGAAGGCCAGTAAAAGTTCTTATTTACTAAATGACAATTCCAATAATGTGAACGATTTCTAGTGACTGGCTTACGAATGATTTGAATACTAATTGCATGTTTTTATTTTCACTTTTATTTTGCAAATTGTATTGTTTAATGCTTTTCTCCCTCCAATTCAAGATTATTCGCCTTAAGATTTAAAAAAAGTTCTTACAAAATGCATTCGCTAATGTTTTTTCACCCTCTGATCCAAGTTTATTACATTAGTCAAAGTGAAAAAATCATTATCAGTTTACTCTAATTGAAATTATTTTATTACCAAATGCGCTGAATGCTTATAGATTGCTTGCAGGATGTCAACAATAGCCATTATATATACACAGGTCGAATTAATAAGTGTTGGATAAACATTAGATCACAAAACTCCAGATATATACTTGAATGCCCATATATTCGCAAATATCTGTAATTTAGTAGTATATCGGTAATACATTATAAGGGTAATTATCAAGAACAAAAAAATATCGGATAAACATCGGCATTTCGATATCTAAAACTAAGTGTGAGATATCGGACCGATATTTATCTTGTTTCTGATGTTGGTGTTACATATTAAAAAAACCCTTTTTACAATTTTTTAAAAAATTATTTTATTTGATTTTTGATTAAATATAACAGTTTGACATAATTTAAATCCGATTTACTCAAAATGATTTATATATTTAAGGAAGACTGTTTTAATATGTAACACCATTTTACATTATGTTATTATATATTATATCAGGTATATTAGATATATCAAGCATATATATATTAGAAGTGTTTCACTTGATACTTATAAATTTAATCTGAAATATATATATATATTTTAATGTTAAGGTGAGTATTTGTAATTCAGAATTTTATTAATAGTATGTTTTAGTTTATAACTGTTTTTACAACAAATATAAAGGCAATTATGAAAAAAATATACAACTAGTTACTTGTACAATTTTTAACATTGTTTAATTTAAGTAGTTTGCTTAAAAGTTTTATACTAGTTGTTATACCTAGAATTTATTTGTGAATTTTCAATTTAAACACTTTAGTTTTTGTATTTACTATCTATCTTATTAACTGTCTTGATTGATACCAATGCAAATATGCTATAGTTATAAAGTTTTTAAAGCAGTTCATTTATAAAAGAACTTTTGATTTTGTATTAAACTTATTATAACTTTTTGTATTTTATATTTACAGTTAATCTAGTAATATTATATATATAATCTAAATTAATACTTGTTATAAAGTTTATCTAAATTTTAATATTCATTTTTTTAACATTTTCTTCTTTATTTTTTTACTAATTATTACTTATAATTAATAGAATTTTTTAAAGTACCAATTTAGATTGCTTGGTATAATATACTTTTATATTTATTTTTTTTATTAATTTCAGTAGCTTGATTGATATATGACTTCTTTATATATTTGTTGTTCAATTATTTACTTATTTTTTTTGAAAATAGTTTATTAGTTTTCATTAATCCAATAGTATTGTTAAAAGTTTGTACTATTTTTTTACTTAGAATTTTTAAGTAAGTTTCTGTTATTTTGGATTTTTAGTTTTTTGTATCTATGATCTTATCATGAATTTGCACTGAAGTTTTATATAATACTAATTTTTAATATTTCTTTATATTTGTATAATATTATACTTTGTAAAGATGCTTTAAGTTCTCAATAATAAATAAAATCTAACTTGGTATATTTAAGATTACAAATATATAAATCTAACTAATTAACAAGACAGTTATTATAATACAAGTATAATTTTTAAAATTTATTATCTTTAGGATTTAAACACTAAATTTAATATTTAAAGATTAATAATCTATTTATTTTATTAAATTATTATACTTCTTATTTAAAAATACTTAGTATATTTAATAAGCAATTAATTTTATATTAATTTATTTTTATTTTAGTAATTATATTATTAATTTTTATTTTGGATCTTATATTGATATATAACAAATTTTAAACTAGAAATAATAAATAATATTATATATATATTTTTTAAAAAGATATTTATTTTTTATTTTTTTTTTAATTAAATTTTTATTTTTAAGAAATAACTATTTTATTTAAGTTTTTGTTAAACATAAGTATCTCTAGGAGCCCTCTTACATTAAAAATTACAACTAAATATACATGCACTTTTGATATCTAATTTAAAAATCTGCTTATATATTACTATACAAATTTTATACTAAATATCATATTTGCAAGTTAACTATAAATTTTGTTTAGTTAAACTCTTTGCATATGCAATTTTTTTGTATTATAGAATATCTTTAAAGCACTATCTATTTAAATTCTTAATACTTATCAATACTCTTAGGATTACTTTATTTTTAACAAATAACTTACTAGAGTCTGCTATGTTCTACATATAACTGATCTAATTTTATGCAACATGCTATAGTTATTTAATATTTGCAATTACAGAATTATCTGTTTAACTACTATGTTACATGATTTTTACTTTTATAAAGTTTATTAAGACCTTAGTATCTATTTTTTTAATATTTTTTTCATTATTCTCTACTAACTATTACTTAAAACTAACAAACTCTAATCAGATTACCAATTTAGATAACCTGATATAGTATATTTTTATATATATTTTTTTAATAAATCTGGTAACCTGATTAGTTATATTCTTTTTTATATATATTTTATATTTAGTTTATTTAATTTATTTATTTAAAGATAGTTTTTAGGTTTCAGTTAGCCTGATAGTATAGTTAAAAGTTTATGCTATCTTTTTACTTAAAAATTTCTAAGTAAATTTTTGTTGTTTTAGTTTTTTAGACTTTATATCTGATAGTTTTATCACAGATTTATATTGAAGTCTTATACAATACTAATAAGTATTTCTTTATATATATATAATAATACATTTTACATAAATACTCTAAGCTTATAAGTTACTAGATTTGATATATCTAGATTACAGTTATATAAAACCAACTAATCAACAAGAAATAGTTACTGTAATACAAATATAATTTTCAAATTTTGGCATAAAGACCTGCGGGTCAATAGTGCAATGGTTAGTGCTCCTAGGTCATAGTTGCAAGGTTGTGGGTTCAAATCCAACTAGGGGACAAGGCTTTGTTAGAACTATAACTGGAATGATCTTTGAGAGAAAAATTTTTTATGTAAGAAATGAACAGGATTCATACATGTAGAATGCAGTCTGTCGGCATAACCACGAGGTCGAGAATGACCAGATAAGGCAAATCTGTTAACAAATAATGTAAAAATTGAGTAAAACCCAGCTTAAGAACATAATAAGAATATTAGAAAGTGTGATCCGACTAGTGGGTCATGCGAAGTTAGGGAACTGCAGACCTAGAAAATGTAGGTCCTACACCGCGGGGCTAGGGACCTGGGACGTCATATGATGGACTTAACGAAGCATGAGCTATCTCACTAGTTCAGTGATATAAAGAAGGCCAATTCGCCTGTTCGATGAACTTCGCTAGATGATAACTCTGGCCTTGAGAGATGTGACAGATCCTAAGGTGACTAAGGACCTTCAGGATAGCAGAGGGAAAAAAAAAAAATTTTGGCATAAGTGAAATTTGATTATTAAATCTGCTATTTGAATAATAACAATCTAACCACTATACTAGGATTACTATTCTTATTTTCTATCTTTTTTATTAATTAGTTATTTATATATATATATAAGATAGAGGTGTGATAACCTAGTAAAGTGGTCAGGTTGTCAACCCCTCAAGTAGTAGATTAGGTGTTCAAATCCCATCAATAGCAAAAATTTGAATAATCACTTATGTAATATTCATATTATGGCAATTGTTACTAATGATTGAGTTAGGATACCTATAATGGCAGTCACACCAGCATGACTGGTAGGTTATAGAGCATCTGTGTAAGTATAACATTATACAGAAGAATGCAAACTGACAAATTGGGCAATGCAAACACTAGATAAGTCCTTGTGGCCATATAATTTTGTTAAAATTGGATAACAAAAAGTCCATTTAAGAAAATCCGAGTAGAGAGATAGCTGGATCTTTGATGGCCCTATTGTAAAAGCTAGTTCAGAAAAATGGATACCAAAGTCATAGTACCTAGTTATAGTAGCTGGATGGACAAAAACCTCTGGATTGGAAGTCTCAAAGGTATCACCAATCAGGCTGCTAAAACAAACTAAAGAAAAAGAATATTGGGCTGACCCAATATACTGATTGACTGATCATAGTTCTACATGGGCTATCTGAATTGGAAGTTTAGTAAAAAGGCAAGTAAAAAGGCAAAAGTATACTAAAGTACTAGGGTTATGCTGTGAAGTAGATGCTGGGATCTAAGTAAACTCTACAAAAGCATAGTGGTTAATGGTCAGCCCT